ACATCTTACGACTGTTGCAGTCATGCAGAAGATTGCATATGCACCAGTAAAACCGACTGAGAAAATTCTGAGAAGCAGCCAAACGGGATCTTCAACATACGCGGATTCTTTTGAAGGATCAGGTACATCATGCGATGGTGACCGCAGGAGGGAGAATGCTCATGAAGGAGATTAAACGACTGAACTGATGCAGCCAGTCACAGCTGTTATTGCGTCTTGACCATATCTTACCAATGAGTCATGCGCTAATTAAGAACTGTATAAACAAAAGTTGGAGATGCATAATTTTCGATCATAATTAATAAAGGAATGTATGGCAAGGTCGGTTTAATATAGAGACCAATGTCTCGTTCCACCAAAGATGTAGCAACGTGTAAAATTTGTTTTGGTTTCTGCATACGACTTAGGGATAACAGGGACCTTCTAGTCTTCATTTCCTTAAAAGATTACCCTACGTAGCATAAGCGAAGGATTCAAGAAGTGATCGCCAATCTATACCATTTACCTGTTGTTTAAGGGATGAGTTACAAGATACAGTAATTATTTTGAGAGAATTCGCAATTGTGATGCCACGAATAACGCACTTTCCAAAATACTCAGTTTTTGTAGTGTTTGGCTCCTTGTATGAACCCATTTTAAACGGTAAGAATGAAGTCAGAATGAATGCGAAATTCATGCCCTAGATTTGATGGTAGAAAACCTATTTCGAAAAGGACTATGATTTTATGTGCGACACTGGCAGTCGAAACCAGGTCTGAAAAGAAGTCATTCTCAGCACAAATAAAACCTCTCAAATTGATAGCATCTCGTTGCGGAGGTGCAGAGATAAAGCCCGGTATGTGAGTTCGACAGCCATTCAAAACGCATCTGTCTGCTGCGGTCCAGAAGTTCAAGCATTCTGAGGGCGGCCACAGACTTGCTTGGTTCTGGTCCGTTTACAAACCAACAATTCTTAAGTCTAACAAAACTTTCAAAGGTGTCGCCGTTGGCCACGAAAGGTGCGCGGTTTCATCAGACCGAAAACTACCGTAAAAAGTGACAGCCAAATCTAACGCCCAATTCGTATGGAACGCAAAAGCAACTTTCGCATCACTGGAAAAACTGGCCATCTTCGATCGCCGTACCAACGTGGGCTTTCAAGGCTCAGATTTTCAATGTGCATCGAAACTTCATCGTCCACAAGAGAGTGTTTTTATGAATACAACCGCCAGAGCATGCTTATTCATACGCCTCTTCGACAAATGGGCGACTGGAAAAAAACCAATGCCTGGATTCGCTGGTTCAGCACCTA